TAGAAGCGACTTTGAAACAAGTTTGGTGCCTACACTCTGCCTTTCTCCCCCTGGAAGGAGATGTGAATCTTCTCAGGAAACTCCAGATCCCATTATCAAAGCAAAGGACCTACCATCCCATCAAGTGCCAGCTTCAATAAACAAAACCTTCCTAAAAGAAATTTCAGGGGAAAAGTTGAGACAGATCCCTGAAGTATCCGTAAGTGGCATTGCTGTGGCTTATGTACCCCGGCACTGCATCCTGCTGGGTTCTGTTCCACTTCGCACGCGTTTGCAGCAGGATCTGTTCTTCACCATTTGGGTGATCAGTAATGTATTTTCTCTCCTACTCAGATGTGTTCGAGTTCAGTAACGGCAGCTGTTAAAGAGTATATTACACATGCTAATGATAATCGAATGCCTCATGTTTTTAATGAGAAAGATAATTATGCAGTTCTCATCATAATAGTTATTTTTTATTTCCCAGTTACTTCCCATAATTTTAGTTATTGCTGCCTACAAATTATAAATGAAGATCTTATTTTTGAGCCAAAAGCTTGCCGGTAAAATGGACAGATTTTCAATAACAATCTACATTAGGAGCTGTAAAAACCTCATCATTCTATTCACTTTCTGGTCTCTTTGCAGCAGTTCCCCCAAATAATAAATGGTACGAGTGAAGGTAACGGTAAAGCAATGTCATCGAAGAAATCCCTAGGCTAGTTCGGTGGCTGTGTTCATGTCCATCAGATTGATTTTTTTCGTGCTGTGCTAGTACTTTTCTTCCTCCAATTCCCCCATAGCACCACTTAGAAACTAGAGAACAAATAGGCTATGAAGGACAAATGACACTTACATTCTGTTTTTTTAAAATATATTAAATATTTTCTTTATATGCTGTGTCCTAAATATTCTATATGTGTTACAGTGTAAAGCTTTCATTTCAGTTTTGTTCCAAGCAACTTAGAATGGATTGTTACCTGGCACAGGTGATGAACATAGACATCATCAGCGTTGTAGGTTGCCATCAAGTCAACTCCAACTCACAGCAACCCCATGTGTGTAGAGTAGCACTGCTCCAGAGGGTTTTCAAGGCTGTGGCCTTTTGGAAGCAGATCACCAGACCTGTCTTCTGAGGTGCTTCTGGGTGGCTTTGAACCTCCAGCCTTTCAGGTAGTCAAGTGCTTAACCATTTACACTCCCTAGCTAATGTTTCTTGAACACTTAATATATGCCAGACGCTGTATCAATCCCTTTTTCATGTAGTATTTCATGCAATGCTCACAACACCACCCTGAGAGGCAGGGACTATCATCATCCCCAGTTTTCAGTTGAGGAAACTGAGGTTTAGATAGGTTATGCAGTTTGCTCAAGGACGACAGCTATTTAATAGTGAAGGCACCATGTGAGCCTGGATTGTCTGACTCTGGAACTGCTGCCTGTATCCACCATGCTATGCTGTGTAAACATTTGTTCCGTCCTATAAAAGTGATGGCTTCTCCTCAGGAAGCATCCAAAGATAAAACTGAAATATATTTTCCCCTTTTTATTTCACGTGTGTGTGTGTGTGTGTGTGTGTGTGTGTGTGTGTGTGTGTGTATAAGGAAATAGTAAATCACTTAGTCTAGTGACAATGGATTTGTTTTATGTTGATTTAGGATGAGGATGGTTAGCAATATTTTTAATGCCTTTCGTTTTTAAAAAATATTTTTGAAACAAGCATCTTCTTGTTCTGCCTAACTGTAGTTGTTGTTTCTTTGGTTGTGCTAATGAACTTGAACAGGGCTATGGCACTCGCCTTCCAATTCATTCCTCGAAGCTGTTTCACTTGACTGCAGCCAGTACTGGGCTGCTGGAACTAGACCAGAGCAAATCTCTCAGAGCCATTCCATTAAGTTTTCCCCTTAATTTTTTTGCCACCTACTCCTGTAATATAGAGTCTGTCATCCTATATATCCAGAAAAGTAGCTTTTCAGTTTTTTTTTCTTCCTGTAGAAATAAAACCAGAGCGAGCATAAGCTCGAGAACTTCAGGTACAAATGAATCTTAAGTATCTAGCCATTCAGCAAAGTACATTGCCTGAAAAATAACTGTTCTCTGATCGTACCAGAGAATAATAACAGGAATAGAGACCAAAGCTGGGCTGGGGGTAGGGGGCGGCTAGTGGGAGGGAAGCCTTGCTCTCGCCCATTCTCTTCACTTAAGGGAGGGACTTATAGGATAAGACACTTCCCAGAAGCCATTTGGGTTCTGTCAGGAGACCCTTCTTACGGCTGCTCACTGCAGATTAGAAAGCACAAGCGTAACATCTTCTGTTCCTCGCAGGAGCTCTCTGAGATATTACTATTCCATTTTATAGCTAAGGAAACTGACTCAGAGCAGTCACTTCAGAGGGATGAAGAGGGGAAAGGAGCTTTATCTTTGGTGAAGGGATAAAGGCACAAAGGGCATTGCTTCCCATTTCTGCAGAGACATTTGATTTCAGTGTCAGATTCAGACTGATGAAATTTTATCTCTAACAACCCACATGATCACCACAATCTCATGACTCAACGTTTGTGAACGTGTGCTTGCTTATTGATAGTCTCAGCTTGGTAGGGTATAAAATTATTGAAGGCATAAGTAAGTCTGCTTTATTTCAGAGTGAATTTACAATGGGAGTAGAGTGTTCTTCCAGAGACGCCTTTAAAAAGGAAGATCACACTCAAGTGAAAGGGCTCTGGTAATTGACATTCTCTTCACTTGAAGTTTGCAGCCAAAAATCTGTGAAAACAAGCTTCCGCTAAAGAGTGTTGTGTGCTTAGTAACTCCACAAAGAGATTTTTCCCCAATCCCAGAGACATATAGTGGTGACTTCTTAAAAAAATAGTATTATTGAGCTGCAATTCATATACTGTAAAATTCACCTTTTCAAAGTGTATAATTCATTGGTTTTTAGTCTATTCCAAGAGTTATGCAACCATCACCACTGTCTAATTTCAGAATATTTTCATCACCCCAAAAAGAAACCCTGCACTCATTAGCAGTCACTCTCCATTCCTCCGTACACCCAACCGCCAACAACCACCAGTCTGCTTGGGCAAGTATTACAAAGTTCTTTTAGCTCTGCCAACAAGTGTCCCAAGGCACCCTACTCCACCAGTAAGCCTTGGCCCGAAAGTGCTCAGCTCTAGATCCGTGGGTTGGCAAACCTAACTCCACCAAGTGCCCAGAAGCACCCTAGTCCTCCAGCAAGCCTCCTGCCCGAAGGCACTCAGCTCTCTCACTCTGTGGGCTGGGAAGCCCACCATGAAGTCTCTTTCTGGTCTCTCCTGCCACCATTTCTCTTCCACCGCTTCTCACCGTCTTCGGTGTTAATATCTGTCTTTCTCTCAGTCGCCTGGTTCCAGGAGCTTCTCAGTGCGGAGATTCTGGGTCCAAAGGACATGCTCTGCTCTTGGCTCTTCTTACTTGGTGGTAGTGGGACCCTCTCCTCCCACCCCTGAGATGGCTCATTTTAAGCGTCACAGGATGGCAAAACTGACCAATCCCCTTGGTGGGCCATAATTACTTTATTTTCACACTCCTACCCAATCACTCGTGTGGGAATTAGAAGACCATGGTGATAAAGACCACACAAAAGCAACTCATCACACTGCAATTGCATTTCTGGATTTTCATTACTAACATATAGATGGAAATACAATGGATTTTTTAATATTTATCTTGTAATCTGCAATCTTTATGAACTTGTTTATTACTTATATAGTTTTTGTAGCTTCCTTAGGATTTTTTATATGCAATATCATGTCATCGTAAATAGAAATAGTTTTACTTCTTCCTTTCAAATCTGGATGCCTTTTATTCCTTTTTCTTGCCTAATTGCCTCCACAAAGAGAAGATTTAATTTGAATGGAAAAAAATTTTTTTTGTATTTCAATACTTAGACTGTTGTGGCCTCAGTGCTAAACTCTAAAACAGACATGATGCACTCAGACAGATCTAGAAGGATTCTACTGGTATGTTGTTGTTAGGTGCCGTCAAGTCGGCTCTAACTCATAGCGACCCTGTGTACAACAGAACGAAACACTGCCTGGTTCTGCGCCATCCTAACAATTATTATGCTTGAGCCCATTGTTGCAAATACTGTGTCAGTCCACCTCATTGAGGGTCTTCCTCTTTTTTGTTGACCCTCAACTAAGCATGATGTCCTTCTCCAGGGACTGGTCCCTCATGATAACATGTCCAAAGTAAGTGAGACGAAGTCTCGCCATCCTTGCTTCTAAGGAGTATTCTGGCTATATAGCTTCCGAGACAGATTTGTTTGTTCTTTTGGCAGTCCACAGTATATTCACTATTCTTCACCAACACCATAATTCAAACGTGAAAGTTCTTTGGTCTTCCTTATTCATTTTCCAGCTTTCACATGCATATGAGGCGATTGAAAACACCATGGCTTGGATCAGGTGCATCTTAGTCCTTAAAGTGACATCTTTGCTTTTTAACACTTTAAAGAGGTCTTTTGCGGCAGATTTGCCCAATGCAGTGCATCGTTTGATCTCTTGACTGCTGCTTCCATGGCTGTTGATTGTGGATCCAAGTAAAATGAAATCCTTGACAACTTCAGTCTTTTCTCCATTTGTCATGATGTTGCTTATTGGCCCAGTTATGAGGATTGGTATGAGTCTTAGGAAATGTATTTGATGCAAGAAGAAAATTTTGAGAATTATCCTGTGTCTGGAAGTCCTTTTAATGTTAATATGAATCAGATGCGAAATTACCTTAGCTTGTTAGCATTGTAGTCCATATATTTAGAACACCGATATGTAGGGGGTTTCTGCTACCTAACCTGGGTCTCTAAAGGGTCTACAGGTAAAGGGATGCAGCGATTCTAGTTCTACTTCTGGATTAGAGAGAGCATCTCCTCTCATGTTGCATGCCTCCCATGCCGAACACTCTCCCAACTGCTAGGGGTACAACACTGACCAAGACAGACGAGGCTTCTCTCCTTAAGGAACTTACATCTGTTGGGGGATTCAGACAATAAACAGATAAGTACGTAAATTAATTATAGACTCTGGTAAGAGTGATGTAATAGAGTGGCAGGGTTGGACGCAACGGTGGATACCTTAGATAGTATCTGAGTAGGTGACATTTGAGCTGAGATCTAAAGTTTAAGAAGAAGCCATTCATGCAAAGAGCATGGGAATAGTGTTTTAGGCATCAAAAACGGTAAATACA